ACACACACACACACACACACACACACACACACACACACACCCCAGGTTACGGAGGGCAGAGAGGGTAAAGCTAGATTGAAACTTACATAAAGCACATGAGCAAAAAACACACGCAACACACGCACACTAGTGAACACTCTGGGAACCATAACAAATGACGTCACAGCGACTCATCGGGTTCAGAGCTGACAGGCATCTCTTCGCTCTGTCAGCCAAATGAAAGCAAACAGGTGAAAACGCACAGATAGAGGGAGTCTCTCACACTCACACACTCACACACACACACACACACACACACACACACACACACACACACACACACACACACACACACACACACACACAGAGTCAGCATCCTCCATCACAACATGAGCACTCTGGAGGATGACAGGAGGATGTTATGAATTCATTGACACTTCCTGTGAAGTCTCACACACTGAACACAGACGTAAAGGAGAGAAAACTCTGCTCTTACCCATTACATTTTATATTAAGACTGGTTTATTGTTCTGGTTGTGTGGTTTCATTTTATTTATTTAGAACATTTTAATATGGTTCAATGTCTGAATATTCTAAAGAATTTTAACTTTGTTGCTCTTTGAAAAGGTTTATTTGCATTATTATGCTATTATGTAATCATATCAGTGGAATAAAATAATCAAAAAATGCCAATAACATTGTTTATTACAGTTATTTTTGGGATGATATATTTTCCAAATGTCATGACTGGAAGGATAATCAATCCATGTAAGCTCCTTCTGTTTGGTCACATTTACATTTCTTACAGATATTGTTTAATCAAATTAACAATATACGAAAACAAAGTAACATTGGGAAAAACAAAACACTTAAGAACTAAGACAAACAGCAAGCTGTCAGCTCAACAACAATATCTTTTGGAGCTCTTAATGTGACTCATAAGCAAGTGCAAGACTTTCCTCAGACCGCAGAGACGCTTTCCTTCCACTGATAGAACTCAGCAGAGCGGGGAGCAACTTTGTTATTCAAGGTCAACATCACATTCTGATGCATCCAGTGGAGAAGCTATACTGCGCTCACACAGTCTGCTCCGAGGAACCTTTAGGGCTTCTCCACTGCAGAACCCCAGAGGACCCCAGAAAAAAAGGTTCTCTTATCTCAAACACAGCAGTTCTGCACCATGCACCATCGTGAAGCACAATACGTGGTTTTTATTCGACGCTCACTACAGCAGCAGCTGATTTCAGTGATTGGTTCCCTCCTTCTAATTGTAGGTTTGCTAATCAGGGAACTGAGCTGCTGTGGCGTTTAGCTGGGATGACAACATGCAGACCTCTCCGGCTCAATGGCACGTTTATAAACCTACTTATATGTTCTTAAACACTTGAAACGCATTCGAATTCTAAACCAAAATTCATTTTTTACGTCTATTTACTCTGTTTGAAGGTAGTGTTCCTGCACAGTTATAGGCTCCACTAGGGTTGGGCGGTATACCGGTTCAACCGGTATACCGCCCAACCCTAGGCTCCACTATATTATGTTTCCAACAATAATAAAACTGTTGTAAAGTCCAAAAGCAAAAATGTATTTAAAATAAGGTCGATGTAATTATTTCCACAGTTCACAACATGTTTTATCTGACGGGACATCCTGCTGGAGGCTCACGCCTGTATGAACGAGGCGGTGCAGCATGGTGTATGGCGATACATTACATGTATAATTTATTATAGAGTCCCCATTGACTGTTCCCTGAAGCACAACCAGTCACCCTGGGATCTATTTATAGATCAACTATTTGTTTTTCAGGGAGATGACGTCGTAAAATACGACGACAGAGATTCAAAGCTTCATTTAAAAACCTCAGAAGAAGCTCTGAATGTAAGAATGATTAATTACTCATTTATTCTACGGTGAGTAAACCTGAAGCTGCTGTATTTGGATTGTTGTAGATATTTTATACACATGTTTAACACTTTTCTTTTGAGCAGAGCGATCATTCATTTGTACTTCCCAGAGCTGAGCTGGTTATTCCGTGTTAACCACAAAGGACTGATTCCAAACAATCAAACACAGCCCACGTGTCAAAAGGTGTTAAACGTCATGAACGGGTTCTGGATTGCTTTGTTGTTGTTATCCCAGACTAATAATGCAGAAACCTCTTTATATGCCAGAGCCACAGAGTTCATTACACTCAAACAGGCCTCACCAGCACCAGCGGACCAACATTACACTGAGCTCAGCCGCCACCCAGACCCTTGTTAGTATCCGAGGCTTCTTCCCCGAGGCGAAACTCTCACACAGAGCGAGTCCACATCAAAGTGAACCACGAGCACGTGTCTAGTGTGCATCTGGGAGAGCAGCGCTCTGGGCTACACTTCACTTTCAGCCTGTCGGTGTGGGCGGTTTAAGCTTCTGTGTACATGGACCGACGAGGGTCTTGCTGTGCTTGTATGTGTAAACCACCACAGTCAACAAAGGGGCTAATCCTCCAGGCAAACTACTTCTCAGATGTGTGTGGGGGTGTACAGTATGTCTGCTGTGTATTTTGTGTGTGTGTGTGTGTGTGTACATGAGATAATTGTAAGCAGCAGCAACCCTTGGTTGACTGTTCAAAGTGCGCCGAGTTCACTTGTTGGTCTTACTGTCTACAGAAAGACAGCCAGGAGGGAGCGTGTGTGTGGCATGAGACTTAACCTTGCACTGATATGTCCAGACTGTGGAAATTGTCTGTTTCATCTCGCGGCGTGTCTTAATCAGCTGCACAGCCTCTGTTTAACCTGTCTAAAGGGATAGTTTGGTTGTATGAGGTACTTCTCCCAGTATGTAGAAACAGACAGGAGCCACCAGACTCCATTAGAAACAACAGCAGCTTTACCTCGCAGAACACAGAGGGCTGCTGGTCCACCGCTGCCTCCATCGGTTAGTTTGTTTGTCTTATACTTACTAGTGGAGACAGTAGTCGCACCAGCAACCCACGTGTTCTGCCAAGTAACATTAGATTCTGGTGGCTTTGGCAAGAGCACAGATAACAGCTTCAGCTGTCTCAAGGTTAATCAGCAAAGATATTCTAAATATAATATAAATACAGCGTGCACTTAAACTTCTGCTCCTGATGGGGTATTGCTGCATACAACACACTGACTATGGATAAGAATGAACGTCTATTTGTTATGTGGACAAAAAGGGCAAATAAATCAAGATCTGTATTGCTTTAACATTCGTTAACATAATGCAAAGGTTGGTCTACCTCAGGTTTGCTGAGGCTGGACGACACCAGGCACCCCGAGGCGACATCTAGGTCCCACTGCTTCCTGCCCTGGTTGTGAGGGTCCAGAGCAGAGATCCGCCCGTCCAGGGTACTGATGATCACAAGAGACCTGGGGACAGAACACAGAGACGTCAGCACGCTGCCCACAGAAGTACCGGTGGACACTTATTACAGCTTTACAGTCCTTTCAGCCGGGGGCACCGACGCCGACAACCTGCCCCGTCTTCCCACTGAGGGTTCACGTTTAATGCAGTCAAAGACAAAACACTGAAGGGCGAGGAATTGTTAAGTAGTGGTGCAGATGTTGTCTTTCCCTCGCTAGTCCTCAACCTCATTGAGCAAGCAGGCTGACCTTCAACTGCAGCCAACGGCACACCTGTGCCATGACAACCCCCATCCTGTCTGCCCGTCTGGGTGGCATGTTGATTAAAGAGGGGTCCTGAGGATGATCACACCCGACCAGCCGGCCCCCCACACATGGCAACTTATTTCCATAAGAACGTGTGAGATTCTCAGAGGTTAGTGAACCGAAGCAGAAATTCAAAACATCATACTATGTGGCTGACATGCTGGGTGAAGACTACAAAGAGTGAGAACTCTGCCGATGGTGAGCGAACTCAAAATAACAGATGGGTGAACTGGATTAGTAAACGATCCTCCATCACTCACAGACCATCACACGATGTGTCCATTTGCTCAGTCTTCAACGTTTATCGAGGGATGTAGTCCCACAGAGCAAAGCCCACCTAAACCTAAGACCAGTCTCACAATCAAATGAAGAAACGCTGGCTCCATTATGTCCTTTCCTTAAGTCCTCATTTTAAACCAGTGGACATACATTTGTTGCACCTCAGGTATGCAGAGAGCCCACTGATGATGCTCTGAAACAGATGGTAACAGCGACTGTTAAGAGCACACGGGGGGATTTGACACGGAGACTTTTCTCGGGCTTAAAACTGTTATTACCGCCATAAAATCAGCCTCATTTACATGTAAAACCGCAAAGAAATGTTTTAGGCGTCGACAAAGACCGTCTCGTATTCAGAGTCCGTGGATTCGTTCAGTGACGTTTCTGATTAGTTTGGGCTTTCTTCTGGGCTCTCCAGCCGTGGCAGAAAATGAGTGTTAACAAATATTGGCTTGGCGGCCCACAAAGACGTGCTCGGAGAGAAACCACATCAGTGCTGTGAGGAAAACAACCAAACCGTGTTTAAACTCACAGACCTTTGTTGCGAGTACGCAATGATGACACCCCGTTGGATACAATACAAATAATGTATCACTGGCAAAAATTACATTGATTCCTCAAAAGATGTTTCATACCGAGTTCTCTTATTTCAAAATATGTGGAAGTATCTTCCACATATTTCATTCAGAGGTATTGTTGTCAGAGACACAGCGAGGAGCTAAAAATAAGACGCAGGGGGAGAAAGCATTTCCCTTTAGATGATGTATGGGCTATGGATTTCTCACCGCACCGGCACGCTTTACCTCAGAGAGAAGATTGTTTGAATTAGTGTAACTTGAAGAGGGGGTTTCTCCATCGGTAGTAAACTGCCAATGCTCCAAGTGAGTTTCATTGCTCTGTATGTGCCCACACGGCAAGATGCGTTCAAAGTTGCTCTCTCTTTGGTCGAGTAACTCCAGGCTAAAAACAGCCCAAGTGAGTTGACTGAATGAAGACATCCAGCCCCACCCTTCGCCCAGTGCTTAAGGGTTCTGCCGCATTGCTTGTCAGTCATGTCCCGAGCTCTGGCGGGGTCCGCCTCCTGACTATTGATTTCTATCTGTCTAGAGGAGATGCTGTCAACGGGGCTCTTAGCTTTATTTAACACACACGCCGTCTCTGAGCGCCCACTGCTTCACATCCACCCAGCTGGGACCCGAGCGGCTTCCCTCTGTGGGCCACTGGGGCATATGGAGGGTTTTAACTGCTTCCCTCGAGGGCACCAAGACAGCAGTTGCTGAGGGAAGACGCGCTGTTACACTTGTTCACTTTCACATCTCAGACTGTAAAGAACACGATGAAATAAAAGAACAACCGTGGACACCCTCCATCATCTTTATTCATGTGCACTGTGAGAGTTGTTAACTTAAGCCGAGTGTGTTCACATCAGCGGGTGAATTGATACGGACGAGCTATAATCCCTTATTGATCCGACCTATCGAACACTCTCCAGTCTTGAAGGGGAAGGAGCGTGTTCAAGAATGTTTAAGCCCGAGGACAACTAAGAAATGGATTGTTTCAGAGCGCGCAAATCAATCTGAGGAAGGTTTCTCTTACGTTCCGCTGTAGAGACTGACACATTCACAGGGAGCTACACTTCACTGCTCTGGACCAGCTAGAAGTTTGCATAAAACTGCAAATAGGATCGCTTAACAATAATGAGCCATGTGTCTTTCAGCCCCATCAAAGCCAAGATTATCTCCCCAAATCTGCTCTAAGCATTACCAGCACCTCCACTCGCACTGGAGTGTAGCGCTCTGAGAAAAACATTGTTTTTCCTCTCAGCCACCAATGAGAACACAGCGCTAAAGCCCGCTCTCACCCTCTCCATTGGCTGCGAGACCCTGCCAAAAATATTAGGCTGATTGGTTGTTGCTAAGCAGTCGGCTCGCTGAGAGGGTGGAAGCTTTTGGCGGCCTTCGCTCGGATGGCCCCGCCCCCTCCGAGTGATGCTGTGAATGTGAAAGTGAGGGAGAAGAAGTCACCGAGAGCATCGGGTTCAACATCACACGGAAAGAGAACGAGCAAGAGATAGAAGAATTCCATTGTGATCAAAGGCTTTTGTGGAGTCTTTGTACTCCAGATAAAGGATAAGGAGGAGGGGGGGGCTTCACTCTACAACTTAAGGTATCATGATGGTAATGGAGAAAACGAGCAGTGGAGGAGGGGAAGGGGGGGTAGCTATAAAAATAGTACTAAACCGAACAATAAAAACAACTCACACAAAACAAACAGCCCACTGTATCATTTACAACTTGAGGCAATTTATTTTCCACGTCTGGGCCCCGAGACACCGCCGCGCTGCTCGCCACCAAAGGGCCACATGTAGCCTGTGGGGCCGGACTGTGACAGAGAGTCGGGCGGCGGAGACGCCGAAGAAGACGTTGGGATGGAGACAGAAGAGCGACAAAGAGGAGAGCGGTGAGGCTGCCAACAGACTGAGGGTTGTTAGCGTGCTCGCCTGTAATGCTGTCAAAGTGTCATAATACTGCAGACTGCTTCTTCAATCACAAAGCGTATGGCGGAGCAGGGAGCCAATTAGCCTCGCTCTCACCAGACTCTGCTCCTCTGAGACACTCGCCTCAGTCGGCATGCACACACACACACACACACACACACACACACACACACACCGCCGATACCGGGCTGCTGGTAAACACACTCCATTGAAAGAAGCAACCAGGATGTTTACACAGGCCAAGTCTCCAAGGAGCGGGAGCCGACGAGCCGGACCAATCGCAACAGCCCTCTGCTGCCCCGGCGGCCAATGGGAGCGCTCCTTTTCTCTGCGCCAAGCCAACGGGTGGGCAGCTCCGCAGACTCTGAGCCAATAGCGGGGCAGAAGTGTCTGTAACCATGCAACAGCGAGCAGCCTGGATGCACGCTGGAGTGTGGAGAGTTCGGCTGCCGCGCAGCCACAGAGAGGCAGAACAAAAATACGAGAGCATGGGGAGCACGTGGGGAGAAAAGTTATGGATGCAGCTCTGAGGCAGCCGCACCCAGCACCAACAGCTGCACCAGCAGGGGGGGGGGGGGGGGGTCAAGTGCATTCCTGCGCACATTCATACAGATAAGTTTTATTCTGAATCAGAAAAACAACACAAGTAGCCTGATTACAGAGAGAACGGATGAAGCCAAATATCAAATAGGTTTTTTAATCTTTCAGATAAATGGTAATCCTGTAATCTCATCCAGGAGATTTAAAGAGGGGCCTGCAGGCAGTTAGCACAACACAGCATGGAACCTGAACCGTGTCTTTTTCTTTGGCAAACATGAATATATGAATACGTTCCTAACAATGCCTTGTATGAATGACTACAAGATTAAATGTCTAAGAATAAAATAAAGTGCACCTAATAATCCCAGATGACACTCTAGTCCTCTAAACCCGGTGAATAAACAAGTGATCTTTGTTTTAGCAGCTGAAGCCAAACTGATGAAGATGAGCTTCAAACACCGACCTCACATCCATCAGGGTCACTGCAGCAGACCACCGCAGCAGAGAGCAGAGGGTGTGGCTTAGAAAAAACTTCTGGTACTCGGATATAAAACACACCATTAAAAAGCGTTGCCTGCCTGCCTGCCTGCCTCTCTCCCTCTCTCTCTCTCTCTCTCTCTCTCTCTCTCTCTCTCCTGCATAAGTGCGCTCCCCTCTCCAACCCGTATCACCTCACACGTGGTAAAATCCAAACTCTATGGCGCCACACTCCTGCCGGCTGATTGGCTGGGCTGCAGCTCTGATCCGAGGATCTGATTCGTTGTTGCTAAGCAGTGAGGAGCCACCGAGAGTGAAAACAAGACAGCATGGCCCTGCTAACCACCAGCTAGCTCCTTGTTTTCATCCTCACTCCCTCCCTCCCTCTCAGAGTATCCCACCTTTCTGCCTCTGCCCCACCCATACTGCAGTGCTGCAGGATGTGTCCTGCCGACTTACCGAAATAGCCACTGACCCAATAAACTCATTCCTCCTGATAACATTCAAAACAATGATGTTATTTATGAAGAACTGGTTATGAAACAGACAGTGTTCATCAAGTCAGGAAGTCAGTGACAAACGACACTAAAGATGCTCACATGTCACCATCAGTAACGTCTGCACACTAAACAATAACTTTAACGTCCTTACAGAGAGCAATGAAATAAGAAATAGTTGAATTAACACTTCTCAGAGTGAGTTCATCATTCTCATCTTGACCTGTTATTTTGGGGACAGTTTATATTCATAAAACCTTCGACATCTCCCTGGTTACATGAAGTGGACTACTGGAAGTTAGAAAAAAACAAAACAAGGAAATTAACTCTCCCCTCCAAAATATAAAAAAGAGAATCTTTTCCTCCTCCCCCTTTACCTAACTATAGACAGACCCATGTGGCCAACTCAAATTCAGAGCACTAGCCCGTCTCTCCGACGCAATTGGTCGACAAGTCGCCCGGCTCGGCGGATTGGCTGTTGCTAAGCAGTAGGCTGGTGGGAGCCAGCCGGCAAGCACGGCGGCCCAGAAGAGCTGTTGCCGCTACACAGGGCCCTGAGGGGGGTGTGGGGTGTGTGTGTGTGTGTGTGTGTGTGTGTGT